ATGCGGAGAGAGGTACTCTCTGCCCTTCCATTGATGCATACAGCTTCTACTGAAGTCAACAGTTAAGTTATCAAGAATTACGCGTTTTCATAGAAATCGGACACCAGGGTAAGTAGCCAATTTCATGTTTTCACACTGCTGGAGCACTAATGATAGCCAGAACTTAACAAATATTATATTTTACTTGCCTATTTACAAACTAGCTAGCACTAGGGAGACTGCAGGGTTCTTCGAAAGAAGAGGAAGACATTACGATTCCTTTTGTCAACCGAGAGTGGGAATTTCAAAAGCACCTAAGGGAGCTTTTGAAGCACAAGACCCATTAAAATTCAGAAAAATCCCATCCCATAAGCTGTAAGTTGCGGGTCTCCATGCCCCCGCCGCACACTTAAGGAAGAAGAGTGTTTGTGGGATGGCCTCTGGAATCGCTCAATTTACCCTTTCAGAGGAACAGCCGTGTTAGTCTGTATTCGCAAAAAGAAAAGGAGTACTTGTGGCACCTTAGAGACTAACCAATATATTTGAGCATTTATTTGACCCTCTCACCTTTGCAAACACTGGGTCTCCACTCTGCCCAAAGGAAACCCCCATGATTCCACCTCCTCTTACTCCTCACACAGCTGCTCTGTTGATCACATCCAGTGATACACCCTAGGTACTCTAGAACTCAAATTCCAAGACCTCATGCCACCCCAGTACATCCACAAGCAGCTGGCAACTGGCTCGCTTACAGCCTTTTCAGCCAAAATGCACAATGAGCAATCTGGGAATTGCTTGGTATATTTCCCGGAAAAACCTGGTAAGCTTTGAGTGCTCCTACTGTTTTTTTCCGCTAGACAAAAATTTCCTCCCTTGTTTATCAAGTTTACCCAGCCTGGAGCTCATATACGCCACAATGCTGCCTGCCTCCTGGCTCCAGGATACTCTCTGCTACAAGCTCTGCGCACTCCCCGTACTGCGCTCGGACCTCTCAGATATTTGTGTACACACAGAGCAAGAATTCCTTGCAGTCAGTCCAATTCCCTGGCCAGCTTGTTCAGCGCTCTGCAGCATGGTTTTGTGGCTGTATTTTACTTCATTCCATTTTGAGCTTGAGGGGCAGGGTTTCAAGAGGAAATGAATGGCAATTTGTTCTCATTTGCTTAAAACAAGCAATGCCACTTCTGCCTGCATTCTTTAAATCCAACCTAGATCGGCACAAATTCGATTCAATGCTCTTTCGTCACATGTCAATAATCCTCTTTAAAATAAAGGGATTTTAAGATCAAGTAAACCCCCAGTTTGCAAGGTCCTCCGGGCAGAGAATACATCTGCATTCACTCTGTAAAGCACCATGCACACCTACAGTATTAAACAATAAAATCCTAATATACCGTAGGGGAAATTTTGTATTGGAAAAGAATGATCAAGCAAACCCAGTAGGTCTTTCTATCTATAATCTTCCTCATCAGGGTACTTTTTACCTCCTATGATTTTAAAAAACAGAACATACAGTCATAACTTTGATCCTTTCTCCTTATGCTAAAGCTTTGCTTTCCCCTCCCCCTCAGGGATCCAGCTACTAGCAGCCAAAAGGCAGAACCAACTAGGCACCTTATGCTTTTGATTAAATGCTAAGTATCAGCTTGAATCATCAAGGCTTTCACAGCTAGTGAAGACTCCCACCAACCACAAAGACTTAGCCCCACCCAGCAGTTCTATCTCTGCTGGAAAGCAGCTCTTGGAGCAAACAGTTAAATGTTCAGAGAGAGATGAGGAAATGGTCTGCCTGTATCACAGCAAGACATACCCAATCTGCGGTCAGTTGAGCTACTCCCAAATCCCAGCACATTCCATACAATTTGGTATGTTGGAAATCTAGACACTCTGAATGACTAGATTGGACCCAGGGGGTTTGGAAATTCAGCTTCAGTCTGACGGAGCAGGGCAGCAGCCAGAGGTATATCGGAATCAGGATACTCAAGGGCTGTCAGCGTTTTTGGGTAACGCCACTAAAACAGTCTGCACTAGCTGAAATTTCCCAAGCAGATCTCCAGGGTAGCCCTTTGTAGAACACACTGCAGCCTGAAGGCACCATAGTTAGAATGTGAAACCATTAAATTCTCAGTTAAAGTTAGAACCCTAACTTTATCCAAAGCCCAACAACCCTCCTAATACATAACAGAAACCAACCCTCACTCCAGCCTCTCAATACAGACAACAAGCCCCAACAGCCCACATACTACCTGGGCAACCTCCCCACACCTTTCCATTGCCATATAAGCCTTACATGTACCTAGTTTTATATGTACATTACAGCACCTCTCTAGGGGTATGTCTACACTACGGAATAAGGTCGAATTTATAGAAGTCGTTTTTTTAGAAATCGGTTTTATATATTCGAGTGTGTGTGTCCCCACAGAAAATGCTCTAAGTGCATTAAGTGCATTAACTCGGCGGAGCGCTTCCACAGTACCGAGGCTAGAGTCGACTTCCGGAGCGTTGCACTGTGGGTAGCTATCCCACAGTTCCCACAGTCTCCGCTGCCCATTGGAATTCTGGGTTGAGATCCCAATGCCTGATGGGGCTAAAACATTGTCCCGGGTGGTTCTGGGTACATATCGTCAGGCCCCCGTTCGCTCCCTCCCTCCGTGAAAGCAAGGGCAGACAATCGTTTCGCGCCTTTTTTCCTGAGTTACCTGTGCAGACGCCATACCATGGCAAGCATGGAGCCCGCTCAGGTAACCGTCACCCTATGTCTCCTGGGTGCTGGCAGACGCGGTACGGCTTTGCTGCACAGTAGCAGCAACCCATTGCCTTCTGGCAGCAGACGGTGCAATACGACTGGTAGTCGTCCTCGTCGTGTCCGAGGTGCTCCTGGCCACGTCGGCTGGGAGCGCCTGGGCAGACATGGGCGCAGGGACTAAATTTGGAGTGACTTGACCAGGTCATTCTCTTTAGTCCTGCAGTCAGTCCTATTGAACCGTCTTATGGTGAGCGGGCAGGCGATACGGACTGCTAGCAGTCATACTGTACCATCTTCTGCCAGGCAGGCAAGAGATGAGGATGGCTAGCAGTCATACTGTACCATCTTCTGCCGAGCAGCCATGAGATGTGGATGGCATGCAGTCCTTCTGCACCGTCTGCTGCCAGCCAAAGATGTAAAAGATAGATGGAGTGGGTCAAAACAAGAAATAGACCAGATTTGTTTTGTACTCATTTGCCTCCTCCCCTGTCTAGGGGACTCATTCCTCTAGGTCACATTGCAGTCACTCACAGAGAAGGTGCAGCGAGGTAAATCTAGCCATGTATCAATCAGAGGCCAGGCTAACCTCCTTGTTCCAATAAGAACGATAACTTAGGTGCACCATTTCTTATTGGAACCCTCCGTGAAGTCCTGCCTGAAATACTCCTTGATGTACAGGCACCCCCTTTGTTGATTTTAGCTCCCTGAAGCCAACCCTGTAAGCCGTGTCGTCAGTCGCCCCTCCCTCCGTCAGAGCAACGGCAGACAATCGTTCCGCGCCTTTTTTCTGTGCGGACGCCATACCAAGGCAAGCATGGAGGCCGCTCAGCTCACTTTGGCAATTAGGAGCACATTAAACACCACACGCATTATCCAGCAGTATATGCAGCACAAGAACCTGGCAAAGCGATACCGGGCGAGGAGGCGACGTCAGCGCGGTCACGTGAGTGATCAGGACATGGACACAGATTTCTCTGAAAGCATGGGCCCTGCCAATGCATGCATCATGGTGCTAATGGGGCAGGTTCATGCTGTGGAACGCCGATTCTGGGCTCGGGAAACAAGCACAGACTGGTGGGACCGCATAGTGTTGCAGGTCTGGGACGATTCCCAGTGGCTGCGAAACTTTCGCATGCGTAAGGGCACTTTCATGGAACTTTGTGACTTGCTTTCCCCTGCCCTGAGGCGCATGAATACCAAGATGAGAGCAGCCCTCACAGTTGAGAAGCGAGTGGCGATAGCCCTGTGGAAGCTTGCAACGCCAGACAGCTACCGGTCAGTTGGGAATCAATTTGGAGTGGGCAAATCTACTGTGGGGGCTGCTGTGATGCAAGTAGCCCACGCAATCAAAGATCTGCTGATATCAAGGGTAGTGACCCTGGGAAATGTGCAGGTCATAGTGGATGGCTTTGCTGCAATGGGATTCCCTAACTGTGGTGGGGCCATAGACGGAACCCATATCCCTATCTTGGCACCAGAGCACCAAGCCACCGAGTACATAAACCGCAAGGGGTACTTTTCGATAGTGCTGCAAGCTCTGGTGGATCACGAGGGACGTTTCACCAACATCAACGTGGGATGGCCGGGAAAGGTGCATGATGCTCGCATCTTCAGGAACTCTGGTCTGTTTCAAAAGCTGCAGGAAGGGACTTTATTCCCAGACCAGAAAATAACTGTTGGGGATGTTGAAATGCCTATATGTATCCTTGGGGACCCAGCCTACCCCTTAATGCCATGGCTCATGAAGCCGTACACAGGCAGCCTGGACAGTAGTCAGGAGCTGTTCAACTACAGGCTGAGCAAGTGCAGAATGGTGGTAGAATGTGCATTTGGACATTTAAAGGCGCGCTGGCGCAGTTTACTGACTCGCTTAGACCTCAGCGAAACCAATATTCCCACTGTTATTACTGCTTGCTGTGTGCTCCACAATATCTGTGAGAGTAAGGGGGAGACGTTTATGGCGGGGTGGGAGGTTGAGGCAAATCGCCTGGCTGCTGGTTACGCGCAGCCAGACACCAGGGCGGTTAGAAGAGCACAGGAGGGCGCGGTACGCATCAGAGAAGCTTTGAAAACCAGTTTCATGACTGGCCAGGCTACGGTGTGAAAGTTCTGTTTGTTTCTCCTTGATGAAACCCCCCGCCCCTTGGTTCACTCTACTTCCCTGTAAGCTAACCACCCGCCCCTCCTCCCTTCAATCACCGCTTGCAGAGGCAATAAAGTCATTGTTGCTTCACATTCATGCATTCTTTATTCATTCATCACACAAATAGGGGGATGACTACCAAGGTAGCCCAGGAGGGGTGGTGGAGGAGGGAAGGAAAATGCCACACAGCACTTTAAGCACAGCACTTTAAAAGTTTACAACTTTAAAATTTATTGAATGACAGCCTTCTTTTTGGGGGGGGGCAATCCTCTGTGGTGGAGTGGCTGGTTAGCCGGAGGCCCCCCCACCGCGTTCTTGGGCATCTGGGTGTGGAGGCTATGGAACTTGGGGAGGAGGGCGGTTGGTTACAGAGGGAGGGCGGTTGGTTACAGAGGGGCTGCAGTGGCAGTCTGTGCTCCAGCTGCCTTTGCTGCAGCTCAACCATACACTGGAGCATACTGGTTTGGTCCTGCAGCAGCCTCAGCATTGAATCCTGCCTCCTCTCATCACGCTGCCGCCACATTTGAGCTTCAGCCCTCTCTTCAGCCCGCCACCTCTCCACCCGGTCATTTTGTGCTTTCCTGCACTCTGACATTATTTGCCTCCAAGCATTCGTCTGTGCTCTGTCAGTGTGGGAGGACAGCATGAGCTCGGAGAACATTTCATCGCGAGTGCGCTTTTTTTTCTTTCTAAGCTTCACTAGCCTCTGGGAAGGAGAAGATCCTGTGATCATTGAAACACATGCAGCTGGTGGAGAAAAAAAAAAGGGACAGCGGTATTTAAGAAGACATTTTATAAAACAGTGGCTACACTCTTTCAGGGTAAACCTTGCTGTTAACATTACATACATAGCACATGTGCTTTCGTTACAAGGTCGCATTTTGCCTCCTCCCACCGCGTGACTACCCCCTCAACCTTCCCCCCTCCCTGTGGCTAACAGCGGGGAACATTTCTGTTTAGCCACAGGCAAACAGCCCAGCAGGAATGGGCTCCTCTGAGTGTCCCCTGAAGAAAAGCACTCTATTTCAACCAGGTGACCATGAATTATATCTCACTCTCCTGAGGATAACACAGAGAGATAAAGAACGGATGTTGTTTGAATGCCAGCAAACATACACTGCAATGCTTTGTTCTACAATGATTCCCGAGTACGTGTTACTGGCCTGGAGTGGTAAAGTGTCCTACCATGAAGGACGCAATAAGGCTGCCCTCCCCAGAAACCTTTTGCAAAGGCTTTAGGACTACATCTAGGAGAACCACAAATGCCAGGGCAAAGTAATCCTTTCACATGCTTGCTTTTAAACCATGTATAGTATTTTAAAAGGTACACTCACCAGAGGTCCCTTCTCCGCCTGCTGGGTCCAGGAGGCAGCCTTGGGTGGGTTCGGGGGGTACTGGCTCCAGGTCTAGGGTGAGAAACAGTTCCTGGCTGTCGGGAAAACCGGTTTCTCCGCTTGCTTGCTGTGAGCTATCTACAACCTCATCATCATCATCATCTTCTTCGTCCCCAAAACCTGCTTCCGTATTGCCTCCATCTCCATTGAAGGAGTCAAACAACACGGCTGGGGTAGTGGTGACTGAACCCCCTAAAATGGCATGCAGCTCATCATAGAAGCGGCATGTTTGGGGCTCTGACCCAGAGCGGCTGTTCGCCTCTCTGGTTTTCTGGTAGGCTTGCCTCAGCTCCTTCAGTTTCACGTGGCACTGCTTCGGGTCCCTGTTATGGCCTCTGTCCTTCATGCCCTGGGAGATTTTGACAAAGGTTTTGGCATTTCGAAAACTGGAACGGAGTTCTGATAGCACGGATTCCTCTCCCCAAACAGCGATCAGATCCCGTACCTCCCGTTCGGTCCATGCTGGAGCTCTTTTGCGATTCTGGGACTCCATCATGGTCACCTGTGCTGATGAGCTCTGCATGGTCGCCTGCAGCTTTCCACGCTGGCCAAACAGGAAATGAGATTCAAAAGTTCGCGGTTCTTTTCCTGTCTACCTGGCCAGTGCATCTGAGTTGAGAGTGCTGTCCAGAGCGGTCATAATGGAGCACTCTGGGATAGCTCCCGGAGGCCAATACCATCAAATTGTGTCCACAGTACCCCAAATTCGAGCCGGCAACGTCGATTTAAGCGCTAATCCACTTGTCAGGGGTGGAGTAAGGAAATCGATTTTAAGAGCCCTTTAAGTCGAAATAAAGGGCTTCATTGTGTGGACGGGTGCAGGTTTACATCTATTTAACGCTGCTAAATTCGACCTAAAGTCCTAGTGTAGACCAGGGCTAAGGGAATCACTCACAGGAAATATTCCATGGCTTATGTCCCTTTCCACAAGGCAAATGATACTTCTGAGAAGATCCAAACCAGAGAGAAAGACAGAAAGGAGAACCTGCACAATAATGCCCTCTCATTAGGCAGGTCGACTTCTGAATTACCATTTCAAATCTAGCCCAGGTTGGTAGTAATGAAAAGTTCGCAGGATTTGAAGGTTATTAGTGCCACGAGAGAAATGAGTTGGTGATTTCCATCTAGTTCCCAGTGGACAAGAGTTCGCATCTCTACAAAGTAACCACCTGAGGACTGGCAGCATCACTGAACTTGTTGGCAATCTTCACAAAACAGGCCAATGATTGAATGGGCCATGGAAACAGACCTGACCTCCCCTGCTAGAAGTAGCCAGGATGAAGACAAAGGAGAGAGATGATGAAAGAAAGTTCGCACTTGTGAGTTGCAAAGACAGGAGTTCAGTCTGGAGGGCCAGCACCTACCACCTTAAAGTCAAGGGAGGAAAATTAATAGGTGAATGAATGAAAAACTGATTTGGCATCCAGTCACCTAGCAAGCAAGCAAGCGAACACACATGCATATATGCTATTTTACTTCTTTTGAACTGGATGTGAAAAACAAAGTTGTAAGAGAAAAAGATCTGCTCCCCTTTACAGAAATCTCCTGGCATTTTTCCCTACGTGGCTCAAGGAGCAAAAACCTACTTCTTTAGAAGGAAACATCAGAATACATATTGGCTAAGGGATGTCTACACTGAAAACGCGACAGTGGCACGACTGAAGCAACACTCACTACAGAGACAGTAGAGGTTCTCCTATTGCTGTAATTAATCCACCTCCATAAAAGGTGGTAGCTAGTTCGACAGAAGAATTCCATCGACCTAGCGCTGTCTACCCCAGGGTTAGGTTGGAACAGCTATGTCTCTTAGGGCTCTGGATTTATCATACCCCTGAGAGACATAGCTATGCTGATTAAAGTTGCCAGTGTAGACCAGCCCTAAGATGAGAGATCCAGAGATGCAATTCTTAGGAACTTGTAAGAAGAAAGAATGCCAGTTAACACTTATCTGAGAAAAGTTAGCACATTTGGATGGAAGAAACCCAGTAAAGCAGAGGAACCTAGCAAATCTCCATGGATCTTTTTGCAACAACTAGTTTGCTGCTAACGGGACCAATTTTCATTAGTGCTGAATACCCAGAAATCCCAGCAAAACGGAAGTTGGAGGTACTGAGCACCTCTGAAAACAATCGGACCATTAATTCTGATCTAGGCTGCATGCTGAGTCAGCTGTAAGAGGTGATAGGACACCCAAAAAAACCCCACAACTCTTTGCTGCTTGGTTTGAAAAGGACCCCCCTTGGCCTGAAAAAAATTGATTGGTACATCACAGGATGTGATGGAGCTGGAAAACTCATCTAGTTTAGGAGTACTTGTAAAGACTAACAAATTTATTTGAGCATAGGCTCAAATTTCGTGAGCTACAGCACTCTGAAACCTCTCATCTACTTTGCGCTCCACACAAGATACATTTGTGAGCAAACACATTTTGCAGCTAAGAGTGTTCTTAAGCCTCAGTATTTTACAAAGCCACGTACACAGCATGTAGAAATCAAACCCATTGTAAGGGTCATGGCCATCGTCTTTCTCAACTTTTACATCCTTCCCCATATTCTTGCCAGTCAGAGTCTACAACTAACCTCCAATGCAGCAAAACTCTTAAGCTAATGCACAGATTCCTCTGATATTTTGCTCTGCAGGGGCCTTAGCACTGCACTCTACATTAATTTATATAGACAATCCACATCCCAAAGACTTAACAACATTTTAACGAAGTTTTTAAACCCTAAAACCAAAACATGATTGCCATTTGATGAGACTGTTGTACTTTTAAGGAGACACAAACAATAATAATAAAAAAACCACGACCATAGGAATGTGAAGGAACTTAAAATAAAATAAAGGAAGCATGGGGAGAAAACAGAATAACATTTCCAAAGCATCTGCAAAAGGAAGTGAGTAACCACTTGTTATTAAGTGATAAATCACAGAGTTTAGGAAGTGGCATTGTCCGTAATCTATTTTTAATTAGAAAACACCCATCTTGCTGGCACTGAGGGCTGGCAGAGGCTGAACATTCCAATGAGATAGATGAAGGTTCCGATGAGATGACTTTGCAGAGAAAAAAAATCAAAGGAGTGTGTTAGAGACGCCAAAGAGAGGACGAAAAGTAACATATGTTACTGTACGGTTTGTTTTGCTGTTGGTTTTTAATGCAAGGCAATGTGTGGGCTTTCCAGTAGCTTTCCAGCCTGATGTGTATGTCCAGGCATCATCATCATCATCAGTGGCCCTCAAAGCAAATCCATGACAATGACCATCGTCTGAAAGGGATATATAGAAGCATCACTACTGCATGCGGCCCCCGATGGTTCACTGTGCACCACTGCACAACGCAAGGACGACACCTACCCTCCTACATGTGTCTCACACACACAAATTCTCTCAAATTCCCTCCCCTGTGGCCAGGGATTTTCCTACACCCCCCCTGAATTTCCACAACAGCCTCCCCAGTTTTGTGAACTAGTTACATGCAGTGTTGCCAATTTAGTGATTCTTTGGAAATCTGAATTGAAATTGAAACATTAATACACACTTTAAAAGCATATAAAATGTATGATAAAAAAAAAGTAGAATAGATTTGAAAAGTATGAACCGAGACTAGCTTCCTTATACAGCTGTTGTTTTTTATGACAATGTCCATGCATTCATTTCCATGATGTTGGCCAACCTAATAATTTCAAATGATGATTTGTAAGCAAACTCTAAATGAGCTCTCCCTGACAGCTATTGATGGGCTGGGGGGAAAAGGCTTCAGGACCAGATTGTATTTACATTCACACCTAATCTACCTAGGTATCCAGCAAACACAGCTGTGTTACCCAAGGGATAGATTTTGGCTGGGGCTGGGTTACAAATCACTTGAATGTGGAGGGGTAATGAAATGATGTTGTTGTTGTATGAGTAAAGGGCAGTAGAACTGTACTTAGCTTCTGCTGATTGAGGGCATCAAGAGAGAGGGTGGGGACAGGTGTTTTGCTTGATGGTCTGCCTGAGTCACAAGTACTATTTGACCTGCCCCTCTCCACTGTTTAAAGACAGAGCTGATTAGGCTCCATAGATAGTCTTTGTTCTGTTAAGTGAGCACTACAGCTGAAATCACTGATAATCAGGTCTAAGTGCTTAGACCGGCTGTGGGACAGTGTTTCTGTGGAAGAGATGGCCCAGTCTGCACTAGCAGTGAGGATCCCCCACTGAGAGCCCAGCTGAAATCACGGAGAGCTGTTGGAACCTCAAGAGACCAACTGGCAGAGGTCACAGTGGCAGGTGGCAGCAGAAGGTGACTGTGCAGGGCCATTGGCAACAGAACAACGGAGTGAACAGTGGCACAACGAACACCAGTGGCCAGAGTGAACAGTGAGCAGCTGGAGTAACGAGCAAGGTGCCTTTTTGCCTCCCACCTGGGAGGTGAACTCATGTAAAAGCACCTCTGAGCTCTGAGTCTCCACTGGCCAAGCACAACACTGGTGAGAGTTAACGAGGCTGTTAAGAATGCTAGAGACACAACACAGTTTATGCGAACAAACATGGCTGTGGCATCATACTTTCTATTTAAGCAAGAGATACCACACACTACAAACTGGAGGCCAATGTTAAGTGCATTGTCACTTGTTCAACCTAAAGTTGAACACTGCTTCCAAACAAGACCAGCAAATGCTCACTGGCTAGAAGCACGTGGTGCAACAGTGAAAGACTCAACAGTTGAAAAAGTGAAGAACTCTCTCAGCACATTCAAAAAATTTGCATACATGGCTGATGAATGCACTGATGCAAATTGGCATCAAGTATTACGTCATTGTGTACATTATCTTGATGTCAGCGGTAGGCCAGAACATGCATTTCTATATGTTCAAGTTAAAGAAGACACATCGGCTGCATCTGTGACAACCCATATCTAAGAAGAGTTAAATGTCTGTCAATTGGACCCCAAACAGATGGCTGCTTGTGCATTTGATAGAGGTACAAACTTCTCTGGAAGACATGGTGGAGCACAAGCTTTGCTCAGAGAAAAGCGTAACCCTAATCTCTCCTATACACACTGCAGAAAGGCCATCTACTCCAACTAGCGCTAGTACAAGGTGAGACTCTTCAAAAGACATTAAAAAAAGCTATAAATTGAATGTCTTCATTATATTCTTTTTTCAGCAAGAGTCCAAAAAGACTGAATATCTTGGAAAATATAGAAGATGCACTGGGACTGAAGTTCAGATTAGTCCAACTTGGGAAAACCCTCTGGCTTTCTCATGAGCGATCCTTGGCTGTGGTCTTAAAATTACTCCAGCCATTATTACTGTCTTTGGAAAGTATCTACCAAGATGGGATGGATCTAAGTAGTGAAGCTCGTGGATTACTTTTGCTACTATGTTCAGAGAAGACTATTGCCATTCCCTCATCTGTAAGTCTATTGTTGAAACCACTTGGATCATTAAACAATACCATCCAGGCATCTGCTACAACAGTAGCAGATCTTCGTCCAGCAATCTGTCTCTTACATTTGGATCAATCAGAGACCTATCCGTTGAAAAAGTATTGGAAGAAGCAAAGACTTCAGTCCAGAAGTTGACTCATGAAGGCATTTATATTGAATCCTTACGTGAAGAGGACAAGAAATGTTTGTTAAGGCAACTGAAAAAGTACGGACTTGATTCTTAAAAATCTACAACAGCAACTTCTAGATTCTACTCAACCTCTATGTAGCTTTTACAGATCCCTGTCCTATAAAACACCAACAGTTGAGCGGAGTGAGACACTACCAGCAAAGGAGGTTCCATGTGCTCAGGACAGAATAGAGAATTTGAACACAGAGTGGAATATCATACGACAAATGAATGAAGATTTGACTTCAACTTCTTTTTTATCATCACTAGTGGCGCGATCCGATCTTTCTGCTGTGTTTCCTGGGCTGAAAGAAGTAGGAATTCATCTCTTGCTACTCCCAGTCACAACAGCTACAGCTGAGCATTCTTTTTCATCATTGAATAGATTTGTGTGTTCTGAAAGAAGTTGCCTTCTGCCTGATCATGTGAATGAACTAATGAGCATATCAACTGAAGGAATGAAAGTTCCGGACACATGAAAAGCCACCGGAGATGAACGCATTGCATTCAAGAAGTTCATTAACAGATGGTGCAAAATTATAACAAGAAACCAAGAAGGATGTAGATGTAGTGCTTCATAGAAGGGTTGAGTAACCAACTTTAATTTAAGGAGTACTTGTGGCACCTTAGAGACTAACCGATTTATTTGAGCATAAGCTTTCATGAGCTACAGCTCACTTCATAGGATGCATACTGTGGAAAGTGTAGAAGATCTTTTTATATACACACAAAGCATGAAAAAAATACCTCCTCCCACCCCACTCTCCTGC